AAAATTTAACAGAACAGCAAGCAACAAATGCTGGCGAGGTTGTGGAGAAACTGGAACCCTTATTCACTATTGGTGGAAGTGTAAAATGGTGCAACCACTGTGGAAGGCTGTATGGCGCTTTCTCAAAAAGTTGCAGATAGAGATTACATTTGACCCAGCAACTCCACTACTTGAAATATACCCCAAAGAGATCATAACTTACATCCAAGCATATATATGCACACCCATGTTTATCACAGCTTTATTCACAATAGCCGAGTTGGAAACAACCTAAATGCCCATCAACAAACAAATGGATAGAGAAGCTGTGGTATGTTCACATAGTAAAATACTACGCTGCATTGAAAAACAAGGAACTCATGAAATATTATACAAAACGGATGGCCCTGGAGGACATTATGCTGAGTGAAATATCTCAGTCACAAAAAGACAAATATTGTATAGTGCCACTGTCATAAAAAGGGACTGACATCAGGGTTGAAGGGAGTCTGAGAAAGAGGGGATAAATAATATATACTGCATTGAAACAGATGAGGGAGAGAACTGTTTAAAAACTATCTATGATTAGGTATTATTATCATGACAACAGTTCAGGATGAAGGCTGCATATTGGAGTGGACCTGGGGGGAGGGATTCTATAACAATGAAATAATTTTTCTTTTACTTTTCAAAGAGAAGAATGAATTGGGTGTTGACAGGGAGGGAGGGAGAAAAATGCAACAATGAATGAATGGAAATCCAAAGTCTCTGTAAATGTTCATTAAAATTTAAAAATAAGTCAATTATAAATGTTAAAAAAAAAATCCACTCAATGGAGTCAACTAAAAGGTTTCCTATGAAATACTTTTCAAATCCCTTAAAGGGCCAGTGTCCTTAACAAATGCTAAGCTTAATAAAATTTTATTTTTGCAAAGAAAAGTCAGAGCAAATAATACTACCACATTAAAGGTATTTCACCATTCTAAAATATTAATATACGAAGCATATAAAAAAATAAAAGGAAACACATGAAATATGAGAACTCACCATTCTTGTAGCTCGTGCATATGAAGGAAGCGGTTACGATACTCCCTTGGCAGCTCAAACTGGGACGGGATGGGGAACATGGATTCATAGAAGTCCCTGAGCACAGCCTTCACTGTCTGGGCATCTTTATGGTTGTGATCAATGTTGTCGTTCAGGCAAACAAACTTCCTGAAGTAACAGAGACCTAGGATTACTATAAGGAGTGCTGATTTCAAATATATTTTAAATGGACATTTAAAATCCACATTGGTGGATTTACTGATAGGAGTCTCCGGAGGAATTAACGTTCTGTGAAATTGCTCTTTAGCTGTTCCTTACCTGTAAACCAAGTGAACTATGGCAGATAATCTTCAAAGGACCCTCCAGCAATGTGAATAAAAGAGTAATTTATTTAAAGCATCCCCTATTAAGTGTTTCATCAATGTATTTAACTGACTGGAACATTTTATTAGCAGCTGGGGAAAAATTCGTAAGCCTCTAAAACTCAGTTCTATGAACTGGTTATTACAAGGAAAAACCTAGTAAAGGATTAAATACAGGCACTGTCAATCTGTCAACTACAGAATTGATTACTTGAATGACTTTTATTTAATATGCCTATAAGACCCCTGATGAGATGGATTGATTCAGTGACTGTGGTAATGGGAGTAGGCGTGTCAGAGACAATGCAATTGGCACAGGACAGAGCAGGCTTTAGGGCTGTTGTACGTAGGGTCGCTATGAGTCGCAGGCAACTCGACGGCACATAACAACAACAACAACATAAGCAAAGGTAGGATTCTAGAGTTCTGGAAAAAGTGATTGAGTTGTGCTTCCCTACTCGTTCAATAGGGAACTATGGTGGCACAGTTCCCAAAGGAACATAGTTTGAATTCACCAGCTAGCTCCTTGATGGGCTATCTCCTCCCATGTGATTTACTGCCTTTGAAAAGCCACTGGAGGGTCACCTATGAGTTGGTTCCAGCTTAACGGCACATAACTACAACTTGTTTAATGACTTTTTAAGGCAAATGTTAAAGCTGTGTTAAAGCAGTAGGTAATTAAAAAAAAAAAAATCTGATAAAGCCTTTAGATCCAATTATCAATTTACAGAAAGCACAACAAATACAGGAACATGTTAAACAACTGTTGTTGCTATGTGCTGTCAAGTTGGAAGTGATTCATTAGCTGATGTACCAGCAGGTTTTCAGAGGAGGTAAATCACACAGGAAGTGAATGCCCATCTTTCTTGGAGCAACAAAGCCCCTTACCCATTAGGCCAGAGAAATCTGAAGGCTAGAGAACATACATGCAACTGGGCTTCATCACATACACACAAAATGATTATGAAGTTAAGAAAATAAAGAAGGAAATTATATACAGACTTAACTGGAAGGAGTAGGCTTTATTAGCTATCAGTTACAATCAACAAATATGAAACTAGAAATAAGTGTTTATAAACACAATTCATGAAATATGTACAGTGACCAGAGTATTGATTAAGGAATTATTAATTTTTCAGATATGATAATGATACTGATTTGTTTTTCAGAGTTATTATTCTATAGACACTGAAAAATTTACAATGAAATGACACAATGTCTGAGGTTTATGTAAAAATAATAGGATAGTGGGAGTGAGAACTTAACTATGTTTAAGTGGCATTAGACTGGCATTGAACTGCTTCTTGTTGAAGCTGAATAATGAGCATACAAAGGTTTATTATTCTCTTCTCTAAACTTGGGAGAGTCTTTGAAATGAAAAGATACTAAAGAAGTATGACAACCAAATTTAAGCATGAGCTTTGATAATGATATGGATTGAAAACAAACGTAACTATATAGGGCATACAGGGTAACTAAGAAATATTAACGCAAACTGTAATATATGGTATGATTTCATAAAAATATTTTCAGTGTGTAGCAGTCGTCTCTTGGATTCTAGTAGACTATCTCTGTTTTAGAAGACTTATGTTAAAATAATCAGATGTAAAGTGTGTGAATGTCTGCAGCTTATTAGCAAATGGTTCAGAGAAACAAAAGAGTAGATATACATGCACGTACATATAAAGAGTGAGAAAGCTAATGTAGCAATGTGTTGCCAGCAAATAAATATATGAGTTGTGTGGTTTTTAAAATATTTTTCAGTCTATGGAAAAAAATTAAAGCCAGAGTATGTGAATGAGGCAAAGGGTTTGTGTGAGTATAGGGCAGTTAACACTAATGCTGCTAAGTGTCTGTCAAACACTCATTACACCTCCCAGTCCTTCCTTCCTAAGAGAACTTTCATTCTACTGTTAGGTCTTCCCACCTGGTCTAAACAAACACATCACTCCCTTCCATCAGGTCCTACTGCCTTTCATCAATGTTTATTTGAAAAATTAAATAGAATTAAAAAAAAATAGTACCTGGGATTTTTCCTTATGTCATCCAACTGTCCAACCACATGAGAAACATTGGTTCGGATCATTTTAAAAGCAATTTCCTCTTCTCCCATGATTTCAAACCTAATTATCAAACCATATGTAAAGAGTTTAAGTGTTTACACAGATATAAAGCAAAATTTCAAAGTGGGGAAAAAGGCTTTTTAAAACTTCATGGATGTGGCACTCAAAGATATTATTAAAGAAAATAACCTCCTGCAATTTTTAAAAAGAATTCTTTAAATAGACAAAATAATGAAAATCCTAGAGGTCAGTAATTATCCTTAAACTAAACAAAAAGAATACATGTATACTACTTACCTATATTTGTTTTTGTCCTTATATGCTTTGTGGATTTTATCAGTTACTGGTTTACAGTTAGTAACTAGACTCTTAGTGACTGGTGGCTGCAAGAAAATATAAGCAGATCAGGCAATGCATCAAGGCCAGGATGAGAGTGAAATAAATAGGCACTCACCTCAGGTAGAAAATGAAAAAATATAGAAAAAAAATTTGGTAATCAAGAGAAGTGGTGATATTTTCGGTGCTGAAACCCGGGAATAAAAAGAAACGGTATTTTAATATAATATTTGAAAACATCTTAATTGTCAGTTTGTCATACTGTGGTGGGTTGTATGTTGCTGTGGTCCTGGCATTGATGCCACAGGTATTTCAAATCCTAGCAAGGTCACCTGCGGTAGACAGGTTTCAGCAGAGCTGCTAGAACAAGACTGGCCAGGCACTTCTGAAAGAAATGGTCCTGGAGCATTGTCTGATATAGTACAAAAAAAATAAGTCGTCCCTCAGTGAAGAAGGCACTCAGGATAGGAGAGATTGTGAGGATGGCACAGAACTGGGCAGGGATTCAACCTACTGTACACAGCTTCACCAGGAGTCTAAATCTACTTGATAGGTACCTAACCAAAAACAACAACTGGCATTCACCACAGGCTGGGTGACTACTTTTGGAAGGGAGTTTCTTTCGATCACACCTTTTCCCCATTTCCCATGCCAAAGGGTATTCCAACTCGGGGCAACCCTATGATTACAGAGTACAACTATCCCACAGGATCTCTTGATCGTCATCTTTACAGACACAGACTGTCAAGCCTTTTGTTCATGGGGCCACTGAATGGGTTTGAACCTACAACCTTTTGTCTAGTAGTCAAGCTCACCATTTCTGTCACCCAGGGAGTTGAATTGTCCCATACTATCTGCTAAAACAGGAAGCTCTGCTATAGGAGTTATGCTGCCAATCCAAAGGCACACAGTTTGAATCCATCAGCCACTCACTGGGAGAAAGGGAGGCAGTCTCCTTCTGTGCCATTTACAGCCTCTGAAAACCCACTGGAGGGTCAGCTAGGAGTTAGTTCTGACTCAACAATACTCAACAACAACATTTGTTAAAAACAGTCTTATAAATTATTGCTATAATTTTCTTCAGAAAATAACTTTGTAATACAAAATAAAATGGTTGATATTACACTCATAAGTTAACTTGTGATTCTTACTCTGGCTAAGAGAAAAGAGTTCATTCAAAGAGTGCTAACTGAAGCTGACAGTATAACTAGTACTTATGTTCTAGATGTTTATTTGCCTTAGCTTCAAAACACCAACTTAAATTACTTGCAAAGTGGCTTTACTCACTTCTTAGCTCTGAAAGGCTAACTATTAGTTTTAAATCTCATTCAAGGAATTTGGGAAACACTTAAGATACTTATCATTCAAGGAGCTCTGGTGGCCTTTGGGACGTTGTGCTGCCAACACAGGCAGATGGTTTGAATCCACCAGCTGCTCTGAGGGAGAAAGACAGGAAATCTCCGCCATGCAATTTATAACGTCTGAAAACCTGCTGGGGGGTCAGCTATGAGTTAGTTCCAACTCGATGGCATGTAACAAGATTTTTCTGCTAATGGATGAAACTGGACCTATTTCAAGAGAAGATCTAAGCCAGATAATTTACATACAGTGATTAAAAATAGATGGTATCAACTCTGTGATACTACTCCTGATGTGTAAAAAGTCTCATAACTGAGAAATTCTTCAGCCTATGTAATCTAAATTACAATTAATTTTAAGAAAACTAAACTGGTTCTCTTCTCTTTACAGGAAGGAATAAAGTCTATTGTGATGACACACATTCTGTTATTCATTAAAAACATAAGTGTAAATGACTATTATCATTTATATGGTCTCCAAAGTGAGTTTATAGAGTGTTTCCCCACAAATATACTTATTCAACAAGATTGGGCCAAAGATCCAGAATAATCTCCTGAGGCTGCAGATTAGCAAATTGAGCTGCTGTTGTTACCAGGCAGTTTCCGGATGTGGGCTCCTCTCCGATCCAAGGACCCGGAGCAATCTTACCCCTTCATGCAGGAGTTGTTTACATCAATAGATATTAACTGAGTTTGAGATAAATGCTGTTAATTACAGAACATACTGAAAGTGCTAGTCTACAAATAGAGATTAACAATTACCCTCAATTTGACACACTATCATGTAGGTAATCTGTGTGTGTGTCTAAGTTTGTTTGGGAGTTTTCTATAGTCAAATTACACCATGTTTATGGAATAACATCTCACTTTTAATCCTAATTTTAAATATAATTTTATTTTGTAAGCATTTATCTATGTGTTAAAAGGAATTCAAGCATTTATTAATATACCCTCATATCATCAACTCTGACATGCATAAGTTTTAATATTTTTAACTTCTCTGAAACTGGGGTATATCTCAAACTCTTGGTTATCAAGTCTTCCAATACTTCAGTCAAGTTACGTGCCATCCAGCTGTTTAAGATTCACAGTGATGCTACAGGACTGCCCACAGGGTTTCTTAGGCTATAATCTCTATGCGAGAAGACAGCCAGGTCTTTTCTCCTGTTAAGAGCTGTGGGGTGGTTCAAACCTCCAACCTTTTAGCTTGTAATCACGTACTTAAGTGCCACACGGGATCAGAGTCACCTGAATATAGTTGTCTGCAAATTATCCACTTACTCCTTCAGGTAAGATCAAGTACTCGTATGAAAACACTTTAATGAAAGAAGCCACTTCATCTGATGAGTATTAACTTGGTTCATGTTTAATGTCAGGGTTGTTTACCCAGGCCACCTAAAATACTTTTGGGCTATCTTCTGCCACTCTTGGTGAACAAGATGGGCTTAAAACAAATATGAATATTCAGCTTAAACATCCATTGTGTTGACTACCATTCATTTGGCTCTGACACATACTGAGACTCATCAACAGCCTGTGTGATGCTGGTGACATAACTTTACTTGCTGAAAGTGAAGAAGATATGAAACACTTGCTGCAGAAAATCAAGAACTAGAGCCTTCAGTATGGATTACAATTCAACATCATGAAGACAGAGATCTTCACCATAGGCCCAACAATCAACTTTATGATAGATGGAGAAAAGCCTGAAGCAGCTAATGATTTTGTCTTGCTTGGATCAACAATCAATACCCTTAGGACAGCACTCAGGAAATCAGGAGACATATTGCATTGGGCAAGTCTGCCGTCAGGGACCTCTCCAAAATGGTGAAGAGCAATGATGTCAGTCGAAGACTAAGGTGCACCTTATTTAGGGTGTGGTCTTTTCAATTAGCTGCTATGCACCAAAAAGATGGACAATGAATAAGGATGACAGAAGAAGAATTGATGCCTTTGAGTTGTGATGCTGGAGAAGAGTACTGAGTATTACCCATGGACTGCCAAAAGAACAGATACACCTTAGAAAGGTTGTGGTAGAGTACACTGAACAGGCAAGGATGGTGACACTTCATCTTTCATACTCTGGGCATGTAGCTAGGCAACGCTATACTTTGGGAAGGGACATCATGCTTGGAAAGATGGAGGGTCAGTGAAGGATGGATTGACACTGACTTCAGCACGAGGCTCTAGTGTGTAAGACACAATGAAGATGGCACAGGATAGGGCAGGTTTCAGGTTGGCTATTGATAAGGATGCAGTGAGTGGTACTTAACTTGATGGCACGTAACAACAACAACACACTGACCCCTAAGTACAACAGAACTAAAGCCCGTCAATCCTGTGCCATTTCACCAGCTCTGCGGTACTTACGCACACTGTTGCAGCCACTGTACCAATCCCTCTGGTTGAGAGTCATCTTCTTCTTCACTGTGTCTTTACCAAGGTGTCTTTCTCTAGAGATTGATCCTTCCTGAGAACATGCTCAACAGTATGTGAGATGAAGTCCCACAATTCTCATGTCTAAGGAGCAGTACAATAAGATACTACACTTGATCTTAGCTAAAAGCCTGAGAAGCAATTTAAAGAGCATGCTAGCTGCACTTATTCCAAGGCAAGTTAGTTTGTTCTTTTGGCAGCCCATGATAGAGTCACTATTCTTCAACATCATCACAACTCAAAGGCATTAATTCTTCCTCAGTCCTCCTTGTACACTGCCTAACTTTCACATGCACACTGAAATACTTTGGCTTGGGCACACCTTAGTCTTCCAGGGACATCCTTGCTCTTTAGCACTTTAGAACGGTCTTTTGCAACATATTTGTCCAGTGCAAATGTTGTTTGATTTCTTGACTGTTCTTTCCGCTGGTGTTGACTGTGGGTCCAAACGAAATGAAACCTTTGACGTCAATCTTTTCTTCATTTAGGATGATGTTGTTTATTGGTCTAATTGTTGTTTTGTGTGCTATCGAGTTGCCTGTGACTCATAGCAAGCCTATGTACAACAGCTCTGAACCCTACCCTATCCTAAGCCAGTCACACTGACTCCCACACAACTACCCCCATTACCCCAGTCAATCCATCTCATCTGGGGTCTCCTCTCTTACACTGTCCCTCCACCATTCCAAGCATAATGACCTTCTCTAAGGACTGGTCCCTCCTGGCTACTTGACCAAAGCATGTAAGACAGAACATCAAAATCCTTGCCTGCAAGGAGCAACATAGTTTCACCCACTCCAGGACAGACTTTCTTGTTCTCTTAGCAGTCCATGCTCTGTTCAACATGCTTCTCCAGCATCCCAACTCAAAGGCATCTTCTTCTATTATCCTCAAGTCATTGTCCAGCTCTCTGATGCATAGCAATAATTGTGAAGACCATGGTCTGAATCAGGCGCATTTCAGTCTCTATACTGACATCACTGCTCTTTAGCACTTTGGAGAGGTCCCTGACAGGAGACTTCCTTAATGGAATTTGTCTTTTGATTTCCTGACTGCTGGTGCTAGGTGTATTTTTATTGTATATTGAACTATTTTATGTAGTCCATACTGAATGCTATAGTCTTTAAGCTTCAGATAATCTTTTCAGGAAGGAAGGCTGTGTGAGCGGCACACTGCAGGCTGTTAACGAATACTCCTCTAATACTGATACTTCAACAAACTAAGAGGTAAGTAGTAGTTATATAGTCATTAAGAAGAAAAAAATCTTTCTAAACAAGATATAAATAATTCTGGATTATCTGTGCTACCACCTTTCTGCACATTGCTGGGAGAGACTATTCCTTAGAGAGGGACATCATGCTTGGAAGGACGGTGAAAAGAGAGGAAGACCCTCAACTAGGTAGATTGGCACAGTGATTACAGCAATGAGGTCTAATGTGTCAGAAATGAGGACGGTACAGCACAGGACAGAGTTCAGACCTACTGTTCATACAGTTGCTATGAGTCATACTCAACTAGATGGCACCTAAGAACAGTAACAACACTGACAATTTCAATGCTGTCAAGACCACAAGAAGCATAGACAGAAGCATAACGATTGCCTGTTGTCCTTCCTTCCTTCCTTCCTCCCTCCCTCCCTCCCTCCTTCCTTCCTTCTTCATTTCAATGAACATCTACAGAGATTTTGGAATTCCATTCATTCATTGTTGCACCCTTCTCCCCGCCCCCCCACCCCACCCCCCCCTGTTTGCTCCTCTCCTTGAAAAGCAAAAGAAAAACTCCCTCATTGGTACACAATCCCCCAGCACATCCCTCAACCACACCCCCAACCCCAAATATAATCCACTCTGCAACCCTCATTCCGTACTCTTACGATAAACATAATGCCCTAAAATATAATACTTTAAACTATTCTCTCCCCCATAGACTTCAATGCCGTAAACATATTTCATCCAGTTTTTCTCAGTCTTACCCCCACCCCGATGTCAGCCTCATTCTACAACAGTGGCACCATATAGCATTTGTCCCTTTATGACTGAGATACCTCACTCAGCATAATGTCCTCCAGGGTCACCCATTTTGAATAATATTGCACGAGTTCCTGTTGTTTTTAAAATGGCATGAATATCTGCTTATAGCAACAATATAATTTGTTGTCTAAAAGAAAGCCTGGTGGCACAAATGGTTAAGTGCTGGGCTGCTAACTGAAAAGTCAAATGTTCAAACCCAACCAGTGGCTCCTGAGGGAAAGGAAAATCCTAGCAGCCTACTTCCATAAAGATTATAGCCAAGGAGATCCCATCAAGTGGTTCTGTTCTGTCACATATGATCACCATCAGTCAGAATGGAATCGAAGGCACAGGGCAACTCTTTGCTGTATCCCTATAAACACTTGGTTTTACAGAAAAATAACTCAAGCCACTTACCAGATTCGGATCATAGTATGCTTCCTGAGTTGGTGGAATGTTGTTTAGCTGAGTAATATTGGCAGGAAGCATTTTAGAGCAATTTATTAACATGTGCTCCAGACTGGTCAAATCCTAAAAAGCAAATAAAAGGACTTACTTCTTATATGCATGGTAAATTCTGCCTGTGGTTTTAAAAATTATGCATGTCTCCAAAAAGTATTTAAATCTATCTTTAAAAAGAGATTGATTATATGGCTCTTACGGGGAATATAATGACACTATTAAGACAAGGCAGAAAGACACAATACAGCTATAAATATCTCATCACTATGTCAAAGCACATACTGCTCCATGGACACAATTTTTTCTACGCCTAGAACTAAAGGAAGGAAGCACTGGTCCATAGGGAGTTGTGCTGCTAATTGGCAGTTCAAATCCAGCAACGGCTCCTTGAGAAAAGGTGAGCGGTGTGCTCCTGTGGAATTTACAGCCTTGGAAACTGAATGGAGGGTCAGCTATGAGTTAAGACTGAGTTGTTCAAGAAGTAGAAGCAGTCAGAACGGAGTGAACCACACACTGTCAGAGGTCCGGCTAAGCTCCGTAGCCAAGCACACCTGAAGAGCCCCAGCACAGGCCTTCTACAAGATTCTTACATGTACTATCCTCCAGCTCTTCTCCAAGCAACACAGTACCAATCCGTGCCGACTAGCCTAAAAAGCAAGCTCATAAAATATACACCTGACATTTAGTTTTCAATCCTGGTGTTAAAAATCAGACTTGTGAAGGGAGCTCTGGTGGCCTAGTGGCAAGACGCTGCACTGCAATCCCAGAGGTATGCCGTACAAATCCACCAGATGCTCTGCTGGAGAAGGAGGGGGCAATCTCCTCCTGTACCAGTCAGATCTGATTTGACGGTACACGTAAAAATAATACAATAAAAATTAAAAAAAAAATCAGACTTGTGGTAAAACTTCTCACAAAAGACAAAGAACTACTTTCACCTGTACTCAACTAAAAGCTGTAGGGGGAAAAATGAAAAACTGTCAAAATGAAAAATTTGAAAAAATGTCGTGAAGTCCAAGGGGGTAAAATACAATACCTGCAAACTTAGAGGCAGGTCGTGAATTCTGGTGGCCAGCGTTCGGATTTCTCTGTCAGACAAGACACCAGACTGGTCGGTATCCACTTCGTCAAACACCTGAGATATGTTCAGTGGCTGGACTGCACTCATGAGATAATAAAAGTAAGAGAAGGCAAACTGCATATCCTCAGAATGGCGGACTTTGTGAAAGGATGTCTTGTCAAATTCTTCAGGAAACCTGTCCAAATACAACAGAATGAGCTGTGCAGACTGAAAATACAAGTGATCCTTAACATTTTTGGGACTCGATGGTTCTGAATCAGGACGGTGGCAGAGAGTAGTGATTACACCATGAATACCAGAAGAACAAACGAATCTGCCTTGGGAAGAATGCAGCCTAAACGCTTCTTAGAAGCAAGAGGGGCAAGAATTCATCACAGGATGTTGGACATGTTATTAGGAGGAGGCAGCCGCTGGAGGAGGAGACGGGCATCAAGAAGAGGAAGAATCTCCATGAGAAGGAAGGAGTGACACAGTGGCCACATCATGGACCCAAACACACAAACTGTGAGGATGGCTCAATGCCAAGCACGCATTTTGCTCTAAGGTACATAGTGCCTCTATTTTAACAGAATCTATGTGGACATATTGCTAAGAGGTGCTATTCCTTGGAGAAGAACATGATGCTTGGAAGGGTGGAGGGTTGGCGAAGGACAGAAAGACTCTCAACCAAGTGGATTGACACAGTGATAGCTGCAATGGGTTTTTGTGTGTCAGGAAGTGTGAGGATGGCACAGGTTTTAGATCTTTTGTTCACAGGGTCACTATGAGTTGTGCTTGACTCGATGGCACCTAACAACAACATCCGATAGTAGTTAACAGCAGTAATACTACTACAACATTTATAGAGAAAATATTCCCCCTTCCTATTTAGAGAATTCTCTTTAGAATTTTAGACATCCAACATTAAAGCCATAATTGAGCATAGGAGAGACTTGAATTTCAAGCAGCCTTAGCATTGAAAACATGCAAGTAGTTTTAACACAAGCGAGACTCACATATCCTGCAGTTCTTGCATAACGATCCGGTCAATCATGTGAGGCATGTGTGCAGGGACTTTCCGAGATGTGAATCCAAATTTGCTGTTTAGAATTTTATTGACATAGCGGAGAGAATCTGCAAATGTATCCTTTAGCTGCCTCCCAGTATGTCTGCTGTTGGTGAAATAGGCCAACTGTGTCTTCAGGGACTCTTCTTCCTGGCAAGAGAATTCCACGTGGACCCAGCATTACATGTAGCGATGCACTTTGTTACGGACCCTGGTGGCAAATGGTCAACTGCGTGGTTGCTAAATTACAGGTCAGCCATTCAAAGCCTCCCAGTTACCCTGAGGGAGAAACACTGCGGGTCTGGTCATGTAAACACTACAAGGGAAAGGCAATGGACAACGGGAGTTAGCTGAGCTATTGTAATTCGTGGCATTGACCAACTCTTAATAATGATATAATACAAAATGTATGTGAATAACTGAATGAAAACCATTAAAAAATAAAATAAAAGGTAGATCAACGGGGTAGTGGGAGGAAAGGTACAACCTAAAAAGTCCTATGGGGAAGTTCTCTGTTACATGGGTCACAGTGAGTCCAAATGGACAACAGCCCGCAACAATACACTTTGTAGACAGAGACAATGGTATCATTTTACATAACATGGCAATAATCCATCACTAATCCACCATGCAGAACAACTGAGGTGAGTACTAACTTTAAGCACCCTGAGTCGGGCGGAACTGGATTTGAGTAAGGTGCCCTTGATTCAGGCCATGGTCTTTTCAATCACTTGCTATGCTGCTGAGAGCTAGACAATGAATAAGGGTGACAGAAGAGAAATTGATGCCTCTGCATTATGGTGTTGGAGAAGAGTACTGAGTATCTCACAGAATGCTAAGAACAAACAGGTATGTCTTGTAGAAGGTACAGCCAGAATGCACCTTGGAGGCACAGATGATAAAGCTTCATCTCACATACTGTGGACATGTTGCTAGGAGAGGCTATTCCTTGGAGAGAGACATCATGCTTGGAAAGGTGGAGTGATGGAGAAGGAGAGGAAGACTCTCAACCAGGCATTTGATACAGTAACTGCAGCAATGGGCCTGAGTGTGTCAGACTGTGAGATAGGCACAGCACAGGACAGGATTCAGATCTCTTGTTCATAGGGTCACTATGAGAAATACTATACTTGACTCAATAGCAAAACAACATTTCACCATTACTGGTTTGAGAGCAAAAGCTGTGTGTTGGAGGGCTGTTTATGGGGTATTCTTCTAGGACTGGTCACTGGCCATGAGACTTCACAGCCAATTCAATGCATTGTTTAAATATGTATTTGTAAACAAATTTGATAGATCAAGCAACTTCTCTCAGTGACCTCAAAAGAAAGTATCTGAGTTCTGAACACAAGAACTACAAATACACTTTGTTTCACCATATGACAATGTTAATGATTCAAAACCATAAAGGACCTGTCAAAAGCTAGCAAGAAGCAAAATAAATGGCAAAGAATTTGAACATACACTTTACAGAAGGTAAACATTTTCATAGGGAGCTACCTCATTATTCAAACTGATAAAAAGTGTAACCAGTAACTCAGTGCAGTCGGAGCAGAAGCAACTCACAGCTGAGTTTGAGCCACAAGCACGTCTGCAGAGACTGTGCATCATGGCAGGAGCTCTGGTGCCCTAGTGGGTAAGGAGTGGTGCTGCCAACCAAATGTGAGACTTATGTGCAAATATATTTACTGAGCACTTATTTATCATTTGTAACTGTGGTCCAGCCACAGAGGGTGCAGAATGCTGGCAAGACAACCCACGGTCTCAGGATGGATGAGGCACGGAGGGACTGTGGAGGAGGTTGGTCAGGGCTAGCAGGGAGGAATGCAGAGGACAGGGGACCACATGGGACTGTGGAACTGGGGTGAATGAACAACGAACAGGTTCTCCTGGCTCAGGGACGATGGTGAGAGGCAGGCAATATCTGACCACTTCCACCTCCAGCCCCTGCAGCTTCCACAGTGGTGGAGTGAGCAACCAGGGTATTGACGGAGTAGGGAAAGGGTAGGGTCCCTAAATTTCATATAATTATTTGGTCTGTGGAACCTAACTAGGTCAATATCTGAGGACTGACTATATATGCACAGTGTAATTGCACTTTAATACTATGGACCGCCAGGAGAACAAATAGGTCTGTCTTGGAAAGGGTGAAACTAAGTTCCTCCTTGGAGGTGAAGCTTTTGAAGCTCCATCTCACATAATTCAGACACATGGCCAGGAGGGATTAATCCTTAGAAAAGGACTTCATTGCTTGGAAGGGTAGAGGGACAGTGCAGGAGAGGAAGACTCCAGATGAGATAGACTGACATGGTAACTGTGGTAATGGAGGGGAAGGTGTGGCAGAGTTAGTGAGACTGGCTCAGGATAGGGCAGGATTCACACCTATTATACATATGCAGGGTCGCTATGAGTCATGGGCAACTCAATGGCACATACTAGTTTATGTTTCCGTATCTACTGAAAAGTACCATGCTGTGACACCTCTTAGGAGGTAGTTGGATGACATCACAGCACAGCAGGGCCCGGGTGCAGGGCAAGAATACTCCAAGTGTGAGGTATGGCTTACATTGACCTGCTCTCAGGGTGCTGGGGAAGCTAATGAACTTGGACCCAACTACAATAATGAGCACAAAGTGTTTCAGGAAACACTACACGCTAAGTAAAATACCATCCCTGGGATAACATGGACTCAAAGTCTGTCCCGGCTGAAGCGCTTACTTATTCTCAGCGAGGCTGTTATCGAAACCATAAAATACAGCAACACCAGTAAACATCTTTCTTTTTTGTTGCTGTTGTCAGGTGCTGTGGTGTCGGGTACGACTCCTAGCGACCCTATGCACAGATCTGAGCCCTGTCCTGTCCTGAGCCATCCTCACAATTTCTGACACACTAGAGCCCATTGCTGCAATCAATGTGTCAATCCACCTCACTGAGGCTCTTCCTCTCTTTTGCTGACTCCCCACCTTCAGAGCATGAGGCACTGTTATTACTAGTTGTACTGGGAAAATGAAGCTGTAAGAAAATCTCTTAGTTGAGTGACTGGGAGAAAACAGTATTAAATAGATGGTAAACAAACAAAGCTGACTGCAATTCCATGTGAGCTCATGTGAACAGAAACAGAAATAAGCCACATGGGCTTTTTAATGGCTGATTTCTCAAAAGTGAACCACCAGGTCTCTCTTCTGTGGATCTATAGGTTATGGGCTGAATGCATTAACTATTTGTACCGCAGGGACTCCTGAATAGAAGGGTGCTGTTACTGTATTGTTAACAATCACAAGATTACCAACTTTTCCTAAGTATGGGGAAAAATAAGCCTGGTATCACTTACTTCAAGGAGATCTTGGAAGTATTTCCTTTTCTCCCATGGTAAAAAGCCCGGGTAGCTGTCTCCATACTGCTGTAGTTTTCTTCCAGGCAATACTTCATTCACATCTATGTTCTGCTTGGCATTGTCCTCCATTTTGTTTTTCTCGTCTTCTTTCCCAGTGAGTTTTTCTTTTATTACAATCGGAGGGGCAAATTTTTCGTCTGACATACCCCCATCACCTACTTTTGGAGTTGGTGTTTTGGATCTAAATTCTGCTTGGGGATTCTCATTCTGGGGTGCACCCTGATCCCGAGGGTGGTCGTTCATTTTTATTGCCACCACAGGAGGAGGAGTGGACCTCTGCAATCTGACAGGTGTACTTAAGCTGTCAGCCAACCTGTTTGGGGAAACCAGTTTTCTCAGTGGGGCATCCAAACTCTCATTTCTTTCAGCTGTTACTCTAGCTTCACTTATTTTCCCTTCAGCATCTGGTGAGCTCTTCAGAAGTGACTGCAGCAAGGCTGACTTGGACAGATTGTACCCTTTCAAAGTGATATCTCCGTGTTCTAGTTGCAAATCCAAGTCACTGAGGCTTAGCTGGGCCTCTCTGGGAAGGAGTGAAATATTGACCATGGGAACTTTCAGCTCCTGGTGGAGTGTCCTTGTCGTGTTCTCGTCACGTCTCTTGAATTTCGGGAAGCGTTTTTCCACAGGAACATCTTCTAAAAGGATTTCCAACTTTGGAAGAAGTGTTACGGGGCTAACCAAATTTTCATAAGATTTCTGGGTGGTAGAATTTGGTTTGGGTTCCTCCCTTGTGTCAACCTCTACTGAGATCTGGATTTTGAATTCTTCATCATTTTTACTTTGAAAAGTGAGGTTGAAATGTATTGTGGTTGCATTCATTCCACTGTTCATGATCAGATGGATGGTTTTCCACTTGTTGGCAATAGAAGCATGCCGGATGATCGGACTGTCACTGTAAGAGCCTTCAAGTCCTCTTCTGGCTATTTCTGCGAAGCTGAAATAAGGCAGGCATTCACCTTTTGGAAGAACATAGTGAGTCTGGTTTGAGAGAAGTGTGACCTTATACAATTCATGAAAATGATCTGGAAGAGAAAGCATAAATGAGATTTAAAAAAAAAAATCAAGGCCTTTCCCCTCTTTCTCTTTTATTCTTTCAGCTAAGTCTGTCTATAAACTGATCTCAAAATAATGCAAGCTTCTAATACAATCGCTATTACATGAGACTATTATGACCAGGAATGTTTGTGTTGATGTTGGGTACAACTCACAGTGACCCTATGAACAAGAGATCTAGACCCCGTCCTAACCTGTGCCGTCCTCATCATTTCTAACATATTTGACCCCTCTGCTGCAGTCACTGTATCAATCCATCAGGCTGAAGGCCTTCCTCTCTTTGTGGACCCACCATCTTTCCAAGTATGACGTTGTATCATGAACATGGCATGTTATAATTCTGCCTCACTGTGAGGATGTTCTTGCTATGTGCCGCGGAGTAAAACCTACCTCACAGTTGACCCATCAGAAGGTTTACAGAAGTTATACACTGTATGGGAGGAGACGGGCCATCATTCTCCCTCAGAGCAGGTGGTGGATATGAACTGTGTGACATGGGGATTGTAGAACAACTTCTTACCCACAAGGTCATCACAGCTCCTTCACTATGGGATATAACCCAATATCTGACAGAAAACTCTGACAGTCAATCTTTTTATCCATTTGGAAAAAATGGAATTTTTCTGCCCAAGTGAACTCCATTATGAAGCAATCAGGAAGATGCTAATATTCTAATCAGTGTGATATACTGAATTACTGTTATCCTTTCATTGTTTGCAAATTAAACTAATACCAAATCTTTTCAGGCAAGGCAATGCACATATTCAGAGAAGTCAGACTGGTAATAGCAGGGGAAAAATAGCACTTCACTGTCTATTATTTCCCAAAGATCAGTGTTCTCTTATTTTTAACTTACAACTAGTTTGAACGCGAGACTTGGAAATATACTGGTATGGAGTAAACTGTATCCCCTCAAAAGGTGCTCTGGAATCCTAATGCCTACACCTGTGGGCATGCTAGTGAGGTTACCTCAGTGTGCGGTGTATCCTAAACCTCATCACTTCTGAGTTAGACAAAGAACAGACAGATACTCCCCTAGAGCTGGCGTCCTAAATTCAGACTTCCAGCCTGTTCTTTAAAGGTACTAATCTGTCATATTTCTATCACAATCATATTAGGAAAATAAGACAGGTACACATAGAATAACTCAATGATAACAACCACTTCGAAGCCCCTTCTACTCATCAAAAATTGTACACCCTTCGTCTTAACTATGTTTTTATATGGCAATAAATATACCTTGCCCACAGTCCCCAGCATCAAACCCACAGGACAAGACATTGCAGGCTTGGTCACAGAACTTATCAGCGAGCCAGGAATTTGCACATCCTTGATTGCAGTAAGAGATACTGCTTATCCCTCCACCAAACTGCCAGGGCTGCCCGACGCCAACACTGCCAGTGCCCCCGCCGCCTGCAGCATAGCGGCTGCTTCCGCTGTGACCTGGAGAGGGCAGGGAAAAGACAGCGCCTGTCACACTTGCAACTTGGGGAGGAATTTTTTTTTAAAAAATTCTTTATTTCTTAACAGTGTTTTTTGTAATGATAAATGAACTTCAGTTAGAGAAGGTTCATCCGCTTTTTGGTAGAAGACTTCTCTTAGGACAGTATCAAACTGAAAAGAGAGTATCATTTCAGTGCACCGGGCAGAGGATGACTGGCCATCGGCACTGAGGGCCTGTGGGGGTCAGAAGCACAGGCTTCAAATGCGCTCAAAGGGGAGATGGGTGGGTGGGCATCGAGGAGCAGAAAAACAGGACGACAGATTTCTCCAAAGACCATACCTGCTAAGATGTTCCAAACAAGACCTGATACGGGTGCTGATGCTCGGTCAGCTAGCTCCCTTCAGTGATCGGTCTGTAACGGCTAGTAGACCAGAGCCTGCTCTAAGTCTGCACTCTCTCCCTATAGCTAATCTGCTTGTCATTTTCAAAGGTGCGTCTACCACTGTATCTGAAGCTTTGTTTCCTCTAATAGGTAACTTTTCTAAGCCCGTTTCCTCCTACTTAATTGGAGGGTGGTCTTTCTCTTGCACAGGTGACTAAGCAATCTAAGTGGGTAATGACTGATATATATGCAAATGTTTTCTAAATCTAAAGGCAGTAAGTAAGTGTAAAAGGTTGTTATGATCAGCAAGTCCGTATGCAAGTATGTCAGAAGGGGAGAAGAAATGCTGAGGGGAAAGGATGCTTAGTTCTCATTTACTCTTGTGTTCCCTTTCGTCATTCACTGGGCTGCAGCCATCTGCTCCTGAAAGACACCAGTACACACGCCTCTGAAACCAGCTGAGAGTGATGCCCGGTCTTGAGCTTCCAGAACTTGGGTGTTTTGTTGTTGTTGTTGTTGTTTTTAGGATGTTTTGTCTTTTTATTTATTTATTAATTTTAATGAACATTTACAGATATTTTGGATTTCCATTCGTTTATTGTTGCCCTTTTCTCCCCGCCTACCCCATAACTTGGGTTTTCTATCTGAGCTTCAATAGCTAGTATATTTTTGCATTTGAAATACTAAGAAGAGGCATTTCCCAGTGCCAGGCTGAAATGGAGAAATGCCCTCAACAACAAATCATAGGAGTAAGAGGGTTATGTTTCAACTTCAAAGTGTCTCAGTCCATGCTCTGTTTCTGAGAAGGAAACATTCACTAAACACGAACAAAGGACATTTGAACACATTCTTACCAGAGCAATCCCCACCATCCCAATCACAGGCCGAATTGTTGCAAGCCTTGTCACAATAGCCGTCTTTGATCCAGGAACCTGGGCAACCCTCAGCGCAGTTTGGCACTGGCCACGTCAAATAAACCTATGATAACACAAAAGGGGTAGCAAGATGACGTCCAATGGTTCTTACACACTCAGGCTAACTCCTGATAAAGAATAATGAGTTGCCATTGTCCAGGGGCTGACTGCTTCCATTCATGTGGAGTATTTCACTCTACTTTTATCTGCACATGCAGTCTTCAAAGTCCTGCAGGGTTGGCAGCTCTTTCTGGGTCAAAATCCTCTTTCCCAGAGGGGGCTTTCTGAAATCAGGGAATTTAAGGGCAGCCCTACATGAGAGAACTCTGAAAGGTGGGCTCTGCTTGGTGGAATCTTAATTCTAAGACGAATTCTTTACAGAATTAAGGGCATGGCAGGACAGAGTGGAACAAGGATCACCTCGGGAAAACAGACAGAGGGCTCAACTGGTGGATTAGGCTCTTAAAACACGGTCTAACCATCTATTAACAGACTTCAAATACAAAAATATGACAAGGAAATGTCAGAGACGGTGAAAAGCATAACTAAGTCACTGCCATCCAGTAACGACCAAAGGTAATTCCCACTGTATCTATGTATACAGTCATCTCATCTCAAGGCCGAGAAGCAGATGAACTCTCAGTATCCTTATCTCTGTGCGTGAGATTATGTGAAGAGTTAGAAAGCACAGGGGTTCACAGGTTCTGAACTGCTGATCTACTCTTTTCAAAATGAGCCGTACTCGTGGCTACTTTTTAAATGAAATTATTTTTTTCCCTAAAACTCCCATCTGCCTCGTAAGGCCTCCATGCTTTCTTCTGCACTTTCTAAAATGTCCTTCTTCATCTAACGCTGACTTGTTCTTCAAAATGCTGGAATTCAGATGGGAACTCTTCCCTAACCTTTTCTGATTTAAACCTCCTGTGCCCTGACTCAGCACCCAGACCCACTTTCAGCACTGAAAGCAATCACTGTCCACAGCCACTGTGTGTGTGTGTGTGTGTGACCTGTTAAGCCACAAGTTCACCTTGCAGTGCATTAAATTGACACAGTGGAAGCAATAGAACAAATGGGCAGGAGAATCAGCAGTGAGCTGCCATAAACAACAGAAAAGAAATCTAAGTGCTTTAAATAGAAGGGCTATTAGCATTTAAAGTTAGACACATATAACTTACAAGCTTACGGTGAGAAGTCTCTAGCTCAATCATTCCACCAATGCTTTGGCACTACCATATTTTCTCCACCAGGTGGAAGGCAAATGCAGGCATGCAGAGGCCTGCACTGTCCAAAGGGAGGCTTACACTGTCCAGAGCGAGGTGGTGGTGGAAGAGGGGTCTGTCCTAAGAAGATGGTCCCAGCCCCCCTGCTCACCTCTCCCTCCTGTCTCTCAAACACAAGAGTAAGACTGGTTGCCTTGAGCGAAATTCCATGTCACTGCATACTACTGAACTTACCTTCCTGTCTTGGCCATTATGCTAACCTCCCACCCATGATTTTGTGTCTCACAGTGATTTCTGCGTTTATTCTGCTGTTGTTACAGCAAAAATTTTAGAAAGCTGGGGAAGAATAGCTTCTGAGTGTCTGAGGATGCAAAGAAGCAAATTTCCTCATTTATTTTTCTTATTTTCTGCGAACTCTCATGAGCTTAGAATTAAAAAAAAATATTTATTTGATCAAACTTCTATACAGTATTATCATACACTGATTTCCCTTTTGTAACCTCTAAGCACCTTCCAAGTGAGGCAGCCCTTCCTCTTAGATACTTACCTTCTGACCTTTGGAGTGGCTGTAAAAATCATCTGGCCAGACATCCTTTCCAAACATGACATCATCATTTAGGTAAATGAACTTTTGCGAGAGCCCTTCAATGCGATGAATGTGACTTTCAATAGCAGGTGAACTAAAGGTAGGCAAGTGGCTCAAATTTTGAAAAACATCCTTTTAACAAAACAAAAAAAAGAGGTAAATGAGAGGATTTTGTTCTGTCTTGGTTAACTTTGGAGAGAAAGAAAGAATTAACGAAAACAGAATTGGAGGAGAGGAGTGGAAATGGAATCAAAGGTGTCTCAGAATTGAACAGAACAGACCAGACCAGGAAAGGAACCCATCAGCTTGCCATGTTTGGGGGTTTGGGAGGTCAAGTACCTGGTGTGTCACTATTGTTACGCGAGGGTTATCAAGGTTCAGCCATGATGGGATCTGTCCATTGGTGACAATGAAAATATTCCGAACCCACGGGGCGTGTCTCTCAATAGATCGCAATGAGTATCTCAGCTCTTCATTATCTTCAAAACGGCTGGCAGACACGTCTTCATCCTGCTTAGACTAGGGAAAATATTGGGCGTTAAGAAGTAAAAAAAACCCCTAGGCCAAACCTCCTCTTCCCTCTGCCTGCTCTGTCCTCAAGATGTCTGAGCAGGTAACGGAGCTCACGGCAACCCACAGATTTCTACATTACAATTCGGTGACTGGGATACTGATTACATTCTTCAACTTGTGCCTTACAGGCAGACTCTTAAGGACTGAGAGTAACTTCTAAAAGTACAAAAGATTTAGCATATTAAAAAAAAAAAGATTTAGCATATTGAAAGAAAACTCAAAACCAATTCATACACTGTATTTAACACACATTATAGAAAATATTGGGACAATGTTAACTCTGTGTCACTGCAATTACAGCTAGTGTCAAATTTAGCACAAATTTAAGTGTACAAAGAACTGCACGTTTAACAATGACTGTTTTTTTGGAGGGATTAAAAAAAATCTTATTATTTTATTTACATCTTATTTTTAGCAACATGTACTATGTATAATGTTAAAAGCATCTGTAAGTTTATATGTAATGTTTCTAATGCCTAAAGAGAGACAAAAATCAGGTTTATAAAAATAAACAGTAACAATAATGAATTTTTTAAAAAAGGAAATCCACTTAAGAAGGTGTAACTGAAATAGAATCCCATCATAAACTGGGGACTACCTACGATATAGACCTTAGAAAAACTCCATTCAACTCACCTATCTACGGGTCCTCCTCCTACTGCCCATCTAGTCAATGAGAATCCTTTTACACTGGAAACCTCCCATTTGGGTATCAGAAGGCTCTCTGCACCCTCACCTGGCTGATGGCACTCAGGTCCCACAGTAAGTATGCAGGACTTATGGTCAGCTCTTTTCCATCGATGGTCATGTTCTTCTTAGTTTGCTTATTCAGTTCTTGGAAATCTTTGGGGTTATTCAATTTTAGAAGTGCCACGCTGGCCTCTGAATATAACTGCAACTAAAAAAATAACACAAGGGCGACTTAGAGAAAACCTAGACCTTGAAGACGTAACCACACAAACAAAACCTACTGCTGTCAAATCAATTCCACCTCCTGGAGACCTCGTGTGAGAAGAATGGACTCCTCCACAGCGTCTTCTTGGCTCTAATTGTCATGAAAACAGACCACCAGGCTTCTTGTCTGTGGTTCCAGAAGGAGGCTTCAAATGACCAAAGTCTAGGTTACTAGTTGAGTGTGAACTTCTTGTACCACTAGGTACCTCCTTAAGGAAGAGGCACCATTAAATGTTCCCTCTGATCTTAAGTCTTTAAATAAACACACATCTATTTTATCTAACAATGATAGCAAGACATCACAAAGAAAAAAAATTTAAAAAGCCATCAACAGGCCAGACACATTACTGAAATGAACTTAACAGATACTAAAAACAACAACAAAAAACCCCAAACAACAAACAAGGAAGATCTGGGGAGAAGATCTGACAAAGAGGTGACCCCAAATGCCATCTGGAGGCAAAAGCCACAATTTCATGATGCAGGGGATGTCTCGTTCTGGTTGGCCCTGGACTGCCAGAGCTTCTGAGAGGCCAGAATCCCAGGCTATTAAGTCGAATCTTCCAATTTTCCAATGCTGGCTTAAATATTTTCAAGTGTCCCGCACCTAAACAAAACACACGCGCTGGCCAATAGTCTGTGATCCTTGTCCTGGAGTGTCACCACTCTCTGCTGGTCAGTCAGTCCCTCACTGCCAACGGGTCGGAACTGACTCACAGCTGAAAATCCTCCAGAAGCCTTTCAGAGGCAGTAAACCATCCAGGAGGAGGCTGTCCACCTTTCTCCCGCAGAGCAGCAGGTGGATTTGAACTGTCTGCCTTTGGGTAGGCAGCGCATGGCACTGGGAGAGAATTCCATGATGTAATTTCACCATATTTAGGGAAGAGCTCACTGGCCAGCTGCTTCTGCGCACATCTGAGTTTTTGGTGACCCACATCAATGCTTATATGGGAAAAGGATCTTCTGAGGTACAGCCTTCAAGCAACCATAAATCTAAGACAGGGAATCGCAAACATCAGTAAGCTTTACACCTGGGGTTCCCCACCCCACCAGAGTGTACACCACACTCCCTGTTTGGCATTATGGAGTCCACATTATACAATTTCCTATTAAATGAAGCTTTCTGAGCTCAAAAAAGGAGAAAGGGTTAAAAGTCATTAATCTTAGATGGCAAAATTCTGCTTCACTGGCTCTTTTAACAATCTATCACCTTCTTTTTCTACAGAAGATACAAATTAGCATGGGCTCATTCTGAGCTCTTAACATTTTCCCACCACCTGCTACTACCACGCTGATCCCCCAATTCATGGCAATCCCATGTGTGTCAGAGAAGAGTGTGCGCCACGGGGCTTTCCTGACTCAATTTTCAGATGTAAATGCCAAGCCTTTCTTCAAGGCGCCTCTAAGAGACTCTGGCCTCGGTTAGGAGTCAAGTGCGTGATATGCCGTCACTGTTCTATGCTTATGCAAAGGAGTTCTGGTATTTAGTGGGGAAGAGTTGTCCTGCTATCCCAAAGGCAGGCAGTTCAAATCCACCAGCTGCTCCAAGGGAGAAAGATGGGAAATCTTCTCCCCTGTGCACTACATCCTCTGAAAACCGGCTAGAGGGTCAGCTATGAGTGGGTTCCAACTTGACGGCAACAAATAATAATATTCCTCTACCAGCAGCCCTTCGAAGGCTAGTTTGCAATCATAAATCAATGAGAGAGCAAGGAAAGGTTTTCCTAAGGTAAGTAAGTGGAAGAGAGATGGTGGTGGGGGGAAGATGTGCATTCATATGCATGAGAAAGATTTTGTTACTGTACTGAGCCCAGTTAGGAAGATGAAAAGCCGGAGGAAGACGTTTCCATTTTCTAGCCACTAGGTGGCACCACCAACGCTGGCTGGCATCTTCACTATTGTGGCCTGGAAGGAGACAGGATTCAAGGAGGAAGTGGGTATATTACGTGTTTAAGCCTCCATTTGGCATCAGTGGGGCCCCTGTAGACATATGTTGTTCCTGTGAGGTGCTGTCAACTTGAGTACAACTCACAGGGACCCGATATACAAAGGATCTGAACCCCGACCCATCCTATGTCATCTTTATCATCTCTGCCTTATTTGAGGCCGTTGCCACAGTCAACTGTGTCAATTTATCTCCTTCAGGGTCTTCCTCTCTTTCTCTGATCCTCCATCTTTGCAAGCATGACGTCCCTTCCCAATGAAAAGCCTCTTTTAACAACATGACCAGCAATATGCCAAACAATCTCTAACATGCTTAAGATCATTGCTGTAGTCACCATGTCAACCCACCTGGTCAAGTGTCTTCCTCTCTTTCGTTGTCCCACTATATTCCCAAGCATGATGACCCTCTCCAAGAATTAACTCTCCTAACAATATGATCGAAGTATGGGAGATGAAGCTTCATCATCTTTGCCTTTAAAGTGCCCTCTGGCTGCACCCTCTCCATGTTTACTTATTCTTTTGGCCAGTACACATTCACTTGTTCTTTTGGCTGTCCTCAGCACGCTTCTCCAACACCACAGTTCAAACACATCAATTCTTCTTCTGTCATCCATACTCACTGTCTAGCTCTCAGATGCATAGCAAGTGACTGAAAAAGACTGTGGCCTGAATCAGGTGCATCTTAGTCTTCAAACTCACATCCTTGCTCCTCTAAAGTCTGAGGTCTACAGACTTTCCCAGTACAATACATCTCCTGATTTCCTGACTGGTGGTACCAAGTGTACTGACCATGGATCCAAGAAAGATGAAATAAAACACAGTTTCAATCTTTTCTCCATCTATAATGATGTTGCCTATTGGTTTAGTGGAGAGGATTTTTGTTTTCTTGATGTTATGATGTAATCCATAATAAAGGCTGCAGTGTTTAACCTTCTGCAGCAAGTGGTTTAAGTTCTTGCTGCAGAATGACTTGATGGCACAGGATAGGACAATGTTCAGATCCATTATTCACAGGGTCACTATGAGTCATACTTGACTTGATGGCACCTAATAACAACAACAACATGTCCAAAGTATGGGAGATAAAGTGTCACCATCCTTGTCTCACAGGAGCAATCTGGCTGCACTTACTGCTGTTTGTTCTTTTAAGAGCCCACGGAATATTCATTACTCTTCTCCAACATCACAACTCAAAGGCAATGATTCTTCTGTCATCATCAACAACTATCAAGCTCACAGATGCACAGTAAGTAATTTAAAAGACCATGGCCTGAATCAGGTGCACCACAGTCTTCAAACTGACATCATTGCTCCTCAGTACTCTGGACAGTCCTTGAAAGCAGACTTTCCCATTGTAATTATGTCTTTTGCTTTCTTGACTGCTGCCGATTGTGGATTCAAGTAAGATGAAATCATTACTCATTTCAATCTCCTCCCTCCCATCATGATGTTGTCTCTCAGTTCAGTGGTGAGGATTTTTGTCTTCTTGACGTTGAGGTATAATCCATACTGAAGGCAAGTAGTCTTTGATACTTTGCAGCAAGTGTTTCAAGTCTTCCTCATTTTCAGAGTTCAAGCAAGATTGTGTCATCTTCGTAACACAGGTTGACAAGTCGTCCTCTGATCCTGTGTCACATTCCTTTTCATAGAGTCCAGCTTCTCGAATGATTTGTTCAGCATACAGATCGAATAGGTATGGAGAAAGGATACAACCCTCATGAACATCTTTCTTAATTTTAAACCATGTAGTGTTCCCTTGCTCTGTTGGAACAACAGCTTCTTAGTATAAGTATAGGTTCTGTATGAGCATAAGTAAGTGCTCTGGAATTCCTGTTATCTTCAGTGTTAGTTGTAATTTGTTGTGATCTACACAGTCAAATGCCTTTGGATAGTCGATAGAACACAAATAGACATTCTTTCGGTATTTTCTGCTTTTGTTGCATTGGGGTAAGGACTTTCATGTTGCAAATTAGAAGTCTATATAGAGAATTTAAATTATCAGTTTATCTAAATTTTGTAAATTATAAATTGCTTTTTAAATTACAAATTTTTCAAAGAAAAAACTTCATAGACCTCCCCAAACTCCTAAACGGACAGTGCTGGGCAAGCTGAAAAAGATGACTCAAGGTCAAGATCAGAACACCTCTCTCAAAATTGAATTCCTAGGTGACTATACTGTTTTGTTGTTGTTGTTCCCATGTTTTATTCAAGGGCTGATACAAAAGATTCAAGAGAAATGAGTTTTAATCTTCATCTCCTTCCTTTTGGTTAACCTGAAAGTAACATAATTTAAAACTATCTTTGCTGTTAGCAACTACACACAGCCAATCAAGAAGATATTCTTCAAATATTTTTTGGTGAGGCATTTCAAATACCTTTTGGGAGAAGGCATCTCTCTCTACAGTTAGTTATCTTGCTCTTGCTCTCTTTGATGGTTACAACAACCTCTCCACCAAGACTTCCAGCTAAACCACTAACCCTGATTCTTTCTTGAAGAAATTGCTCAAAATTAACAGTATCCAGGATTCCATCTTCTACCGTATGGGTACAGTCAAGGATGAACTTCAGAACCTGCTTCTTTTTTTTTACCCCCCCCCCCTTTCACCACAGGCTTTTTCACAGATGTCATGGTGGCAGCGAAGTCAGAGAGTCTGGCCTCGTACCCAGACACGATGACTAAATGTCTGGCATACGCCCTGATTCCATCTCTGTAGAAAACAACATTAAAGGAATTCGCAAAAACCTTTAGGAAACTACCCTGGCTAGACTTCATCTTCTAAATTCTTAAGAACCGATCATCTTCAAGAGTAGCACACCTGATTCTTGGGACAAAATTGCCATAATGCTGTATCCAAAGGTCATCCTGAGAATATCTGATGCCTATATAACCCTCTTTCCTTATCTTCTCTTTTAAGTACTTTCCCAGTATTTTCAATCTGATGCTGCCTGATCTTAATCAAACTTGTTATATGCTGTCAAGTTGTTTGCAACTTATAGCGA